GCCCCTAGGCTGGCGCTCACTCGGAGCACTGTCTCACAGAGCACCTGACGATCGGCCCCGAGGCTGGTGGTCGCTCGGAGCACTGTCTCACAGAGCACCTGACGATCGGCCCCAAGGCTCACTCACAACACAGTGGCTGCAACAGGACTCGAGCAGATTGGCAACCTTGACGACAGCACAGGACGTGGCACCACCGTGGCCTGGAGCTGAGTCAATGGCCACAAACAACATGTGACAAAGCAACCTCCAGGCCAGTGGTCCAGCCTCCCCCTGCAGGGTGCTCTCTGCCCTCTGGTGCCGTCTGCCCTCTCCTCCCAAACACCTCGCACCCCACGAGCAGGGGCAGGGACCGTCACCTGCTGTGTTCACCTGCAGGTGCCGGCACAAGCAGACACCGACCAACACTCTGAGCACCGCACGCCCTTCTCCGTGCTGGTCCGAGCTCGTGTCAGCTCGCTCAGCTGTGATTCTCAGGGGGCGGCAGACCCTGCTGGGTGCACATCTACAACGTGACGTGATGTGATCATCTTCCATGCTGTGACCCAACAGGACCAGTCCATTAGCTGAAAGAGGAATTTCCTCTGGTGTGTGGCCTGTCTCCAGTGTATGAATGGGTGTTCTGGGAAGGGCTCTGTTTCTCCTCCTCACCCCTGCTTGCTCTTTCCCTCTCCCTGGCATCCTTCTCGCTGCCTGACCTCCTGTTCCTGTGACGTAAGTCTGCAGACGTCTCTGGCCTGCCGCCTGGCCAGCAAACTATAGACACACCAGGCACCGCAACCCTGTGACCCAGCAGAGGCCTCCAGCTTGCTGCCCGACCTGTGGATTGAGGACATGCCAGCCCCACAACTGCATGACTGTTTCCTCACCACGCCGTGAGCCACAGCCCTGAAGTAAGTCTCTGTCTGCAGGCCTTCACTAGTTTTGCTCTTCTGGAGAACCCAGACCAGGACACTCGCATCACTTCACCTTCATCAGGAGAAATCCAGTTGGGTATTTATGTGAACTCAGGCCGCTGACCATGGACCTCCCTCAGATGGTGTCCGTGACGCCAGAAATCCCTCATGTGGTCCACGACCATGGACCTCCCCCTCAGGTGGTGTCCATGACCATCAACTTCCCTCAGATGGTGCCCATGACCACGAACCTCCCCTCCCTCAGATGGTGCTTAGGACCATAAACTTCCCTCAGATGGTGCCTATAACCACGAACCTCCTCTCCCTCAGATAGTGCCCAAGGCCACGAACTTGTCTCTGACTGTGTACATGACCATCAGAGGATGGGACAAAGCTTTTTACTTTAAAAATAAGTCTCTACAGGCATGGAACCCACGACCATATGAAATCGCCAAACCTGTCAATTCACTGAAATGGCTGTCTGTCAGCCTCAGCAAACCCCAACATCCCTCCCCGATCTGTCACGTGGTCTCAGAGCACAATCTCATTACTGAGCAGAACGGGAGGAAGCTCTGAAGAAAACAAGTGTCCACGTGAAGACACCTGGAAGTTCTCACCAGATGCTGAGGGTTACCAGGGACCTTGTACCGACCAGGGTACCAGTTGCTCTCACTTGAATTATCAAGAAGGGCAAGCATGTGTCTGTTGGCCCCATGTGGGCCGCAGCCGAGCTTGACCAGGCCGCTGCCATGACGTGCTGGCAGGACTGTCTCCGCCTGTTACCGCTGCCCTACAAGGCAGCCTTGCCCTGGCACAGAGGTGTCACTGCAGCCATGCATAGCCTGGGGCCGGGAACAGACGTAGTCCAGACAAGACTTGGGCTTACTTGGCCCTACTCTGTGTGGCACAGCCGGCTCATTTTCTCCCACTGCACTGGAGGAAACCACCAATCACGTCCCTTCCATGACAAAAATGCTGATGGAGCAATGGGCAAGTGCTGAAGTTGTCTGGAAGTGATAAAATAAGTCACCAAAACGCTAAAGGTCACACAGAAAGATGGCAGGCTGGTCAGAACGAAGCAGGGGAGTCCAAGAGGAAGCACGCAGGCCCTGGAGGCAGCGTGACTCCGCCCTCGCTCGTGCTCCACCCTGCAGCTGTGTGGCACCAGGGAGCCCAGGCAGCATCGCTCTCAGCAGAGTGGCCGTGACCCCCGCGAGAGCGGGGACTGAGGACAGATGAGACACCGTCTGGCCCGTGGTGGACAGTGTGCTCCTCCTTAAGCTGAGTCTACGCGGACGAACGAGAGCCGAGCACCAGGCCCTCACCCCACCTGCAGGCCTCCTGAGCCCCCCACCGCTGGGCCGGGGGCGCGACGACACACCTGCTGCTTGGCCAGCATGGGCAGGACCACGTCTGCTATCTGCCGAGACAGCCGCTTCCACTTGTCCTCGTTCTCCTTGTGGCACTGCTGCAGGACGAGGATCACCATCTCCAGCACCTGGAACGGGCACGCGCACATTACAGGGGCTCCCGGGCAGAGTCCCCACGGCATCCTGAGCGCTCTCCCATGCCAACGCCTCCCCACACAGCAACACAGCAATGGCTGCCCCACTGCATGACGCGGGTCCCCTCCCTCTGGCGGGCACCCCATGGGGAGGACACCTGAGGAGGGCGGAACAAACTGCTCCAGCCACCCTCTCCTGAATGATTCGCTATCACTGCTACATCCACGGCGTCCGCCAGGGCCACAGTCAGAGAAAAGGCACAAAAAGAAAGCCTAACTTCTGCTAGCCTCAGGCAAGGCCGACCCATATCAACTGAACACCTGGCTCCTGCCGTGTCCATGACCTTCAAGTCTGTGGCCCCTGCACAGGTCACCTGCCAACAGCACTGAGTTTCTGAGGGCACACGAGGCCAGGCAGGGCTTCCGAGAGAGCGTGTGTTCCCAGACAGAGATATTTAAGACCTGGCAAAGTCTAGGGCAGGGGCCAGCCCACAGCCTGTCTGATGGGCACACAGGTCTGATGGGCACACAGCCACATCTACGTGTGTTCATACCGTCCAAGGCTGCGTGCACGTTACAGCAACTGTGAGAGACACTGCGTGGACCACAAAGCTAAAGATATTCACCGTCTGATCATTCCTTTACAAAGAAAGTCTGCCGAACTCTCGTCTAAACGCATACCTGCTAGAGACAGACCTGCTCTCCATGAGGCTGCCCCAGGCCCCACGCCCACAGCTGCGTCATCGTCACGGGACTGCTGCAGCCCGTCCGCCTGACATGAGAACCCACACTCAACTCCAGGAAAAGCTTCCGCCACCCCCAACTACACGGCTATTCTCTCACCCAGCACGCGCGCCTGGGGGCTCCTACCCGACTCGGCAATGCGTGCCCCAGTCGCTGCCTCATCTGCAGTCTCTCTAGGGAAGACGTCCTCTTTCTAACTAAGTGATGAAACACAGCAGTGACTACTTAACTAAACAGCACACAGACCAACAACCACGGATGTGCAAAGGGTGCTTCCACGGAACTAGCCTCTGGTTTGTAGACATTCAAAGACCAACAGCTCTGGTGGAACAGCACCTAAGGCATTTGACTGCTAACCAGAAGGTTGGGGTTCAAACCCACCAGCCACTCCATGGAAGAAGATTGAGCAATCTACTTCTGTAAAGACTTACTGCCTTGTAAACCCAAAGGGGGCTGCTATGAGTCAGAACTGACTTGATGGCAGTGAGTTTGGCTTTTGAGTTTTTAAAGACCAACAGCTAAAGAGAACCGCCAGGACCAGTGAGGGCGGAGCAACTGCTGGGCAACGGCGAGCTGCAAGAGCGCCCTCAGCTAGGACGCGGCTGCACAGACTGCCACGGGACAGCAGTGAGCTCTCGCTCCACTTTGCTGTGTGTCAGCGAGTCCATTCCGACACAGAGCAACCCCACGTGACAGAGCAGAAGCACCCCAGATGGTTCTCCTGATGGTAATCTTCACGGGAGCAGGTCACCGGGCCTTTCTCCCACAGAGCATTGGCTGAGTTCAAACCGCCAACCTCTCAGCTAGCATCAAGCACTTAACTGGGCCATCAGGCTCTCTGCTCACCTTCAAGGAAAGCAAAATCCGAAATCCATTCGAAGAAAAAGACCTTGGCTCTATACTAAAATGGTGTTAACCACACGTACAGTTAACGTCTTCAGAGTATTTCGCGTGAGGGTTCTACCACTTTTAAGAATTTGACCACTCTGAGCAACTGTGTCCAGGAGCTGCTTTAGTTCCAGCTCCATGACTGGCAGGTGTGTCAGGTGGCTCCCCGGGCCGTACATCCTTTACAGACAGGGGCCACTGTTTCCCTGGTCCCCCCGCACCGAGGCGCCCAGGCCATGAAGACAGCACACTGTCACCCAGCGAGTGGCCAGACGGGGTGGCGTCTGGCTGGTGAGCCCCGCCCACACACCTGGTGGTGTTGGATAAGGCGCAGCAGCATGGACACCACCACCTCCTTCTGCGTCTCCAGCTCCTTTCCCGCGTCGGCTTTGTTGGCCCCTCTCAGCACAAAGAGGTCGTGCACAATGGGCTGCAGGGCCGGGATGGCTGTGGGCACAAGGGGCATCGGTCAGGGGCCGGGTGAGAGGGAGACAGCTCGCCACTCCTCCACAGCGCGCTCGGGGACTCCACGGAGCCTTGCGGGCACGCGGCCGAGATAAGGGCTGTGTCACGGCTACCGAAGAGCAAACAAACATGAAGTGAGATCACTAGGCCACCATGGTGGGCGGCCACGGCCGGCCTGCCACCGAGCATTGGTTACTCTGGGAAGGTTTTAAGAAGAAAGAAAACTAAGTGTGGCAACACACACCTCTTTGGAGGTGAAGGTGACATAAACACAAGTCAACTTAAAAAAAAAAAAAAAGCAAACAGCCTTCCAACTGAAACAGCCCCATTCCCGGCCTTGTGCATAACCCAGTTACAGATTTACCTGAAAAGACAGCGTCTAGTGCAGACCGTCCGACCCACCAGAGCTGTTCTCACCTCTGGGGGTCTCAAAGGGCGTGGGACACGTGGCTACCTAAGTTTAAAGCCTCAATCCCCGACAGAAGAGACAGAGGGCACCAGCACAGCGGGAACACTGGACGATCACTTCACAGAGCACAGAGCACGGTTTGCAGCTCATTCTTAAAGGCACACAACTCACCCCACAGGCTGCAGGGACACGGGTGAGCAGCTGACCACTTCCTGTGGCCTGTATTTAAACCTTCTGTGACCTGCGGGACACAGAGTGCCCACCTACATTTTCTACCTCTGGGGCTTAGTGGGAAGCTGCTGTCCAACTTTCAGTGCATGCTATCATCTGGGATGGGCCTATGTAACTGTGTGATTCTAAAGAAACAGGCTTCATTCCACCAACCCCAGTGCCAGAGACCCCTGGGACATATGTGTCCCACTTAATGCATCAAAGGCCATATTACCTCCCAAAACAATTTTTTTCCATTTCATTCAAAATGTCTGCCTCCTATTACTGGAAACACATGGTTTCAAAAACAAATTCACACACGGTCCTGACTCAGGGTCGAAGTCTACCCCGAACACCCATAAGTCAGTAACCTGTCAAGTGGAGTCTGGAAAGCGTGTGTTCCACAGCAATGAACAGTCTACTACATCCACAGACCTGTTCGCTCTACTTCCCATCAGGCAGACCACGAAGCCCTGAGGGCAAAGAACATGCTCTCTACTTCTTCCACCATCTCCACTTACACACATACATGCACAGACACACACATGCAGCCTGCATGCCTGCACGCACACACAATTTGTACGCACACACAAGCATACACAGGAACACACATGCAGCCTACACACGCACCCACACACATCTGTATGCACGCACATGTATGCACACATGCAGGTACACACATGCTCACGCACACACACACATGCATGTGCACACCGAGTTGGCAGTGGGTGTGTGGAGACGGTTACCATGGGAGACGGCCTTCCTCCCGCTGGCCATGATGCCGTCACAGAGCTGAATGATCTTAGGAATGCTGATGATCTGCTTCGAGTGGTAGCGCTCATACGACAGCAGCACCAAGAAGAAAAAGATGTTCGGGATAATTGCCTCCGACTCCCTGGAACAAACACAGCCATTTAGAGTCCTTCTCTTAAAATGAAGAGATACCACCAGCATCCACAACATCAAGAAATTTGCGACTCAAAGCTGAGAGGGGCTGGCGAGTGACGGGACGGGGCGACTGGGTGGAAACCAATTGACGGCACCCAGCTGCTGGCCCACAGCGAAGGGGCAGGGTGCTCACGGAGGGTACCGACGGGCGGAGGGCTCGGTGAAGCCGTGCAAAGCACACCCCGACAGCCCTGCTGCACACCAGGGGCCACCGGCTCGGCCCCCTGTTGGCTCCTTCGCTCTCCAGTCGAGGATACAGGGCTCGAGAGGGAGGAACGTCCTGGGCCTCGGAGCCGCACCGCCTCAGGATGCTTTCAGGAGCCCGCGTCTCTAGACCCTGTGTCGTCACCTCAGAGACTGGGGACCTTCACTTGCAGCAAGTCTATTTAGAAACACGTACTTAGCACAGCAACCACTGCACGCCTGGCTAGCAAAGTCAGCAACAACCGCAGCACACGCTCATCACTGTTGACAAAAGACAACTCATCCACACATTGCTTTCTCTCCGAAGATGGAAACCATCAGTGCACCTTCAGACGAAACCCCACCCAGCGAGGGGCCTCACAAGGAATGGCTTTGAGACGTGGCTGGGAACTGGCAGTGCGTGAGGCCGGCTGCAGAGCAACCGAGACGCTCACCCTTGACTCGTAAGTGAAGCAAACTGCACAGCACGTTGCCCACGCTTCACTGAAAAATTCTCAAGCAAAACTGCCACATCATTTAAAGTAAACGCTGATCTGAATGCTCTAGAGACATGGCGGTGCAGAGAGGACAGGACGCCAAGAGGACAAAGGCTCCTACCTGAACTGGCCCACTTCAATGTACTCAAACTGCTTTAGCACAAATCCGATAAACACCTACAGGAAGAAAACAAACAGTCACATCAAACAGCAGCGTTAACTGTCCATACAGGTTCCCCATACAAACACCACACTAATGTTCCTTCCCACTCATCTGAGTCAATTTTGAACATGTTTCCCGACAGCAAATAAATCTCCTTATAAACAAGAAGTGAACAGGAATGTGAAATTGGAGATGACCTGAGAATACTGCCAGAAAGCCCCTGAAATGAGTTCACTGAACAGTGAGGTAAAAAACCTCATTGAAAAAGCAAATATAAACCCCAGACACCAGGCAGCCCCCGAGAACCCTGAGTGGGGGCTCACCTGCAGGAGCTTGGGGCAAACTGTGCAGCATGGCTGTCTGTGGGCACCTCCAGTAGTAAGATGACCCAGTTTATGAAGTGTCGGCCCCCAGCCCCAGCGCGTGCAGGGGTGCCCTGAGGAGCAGCTGAGGGGCCCTTTCTGACTGGAGTGCACCCTGCTTTACATCATCACCCTTCTGGACAGTGCTGCTCTTCCCACCCTGATGAGACGCGCCAACAGTCAAGGGTGGGACTTGACACTGATCTACCTGCCTCTGGGCGTGAGGCTGACAGCACAGGTACCCCACCAACCGATTACTGCGTGAAATGTGTGCCTCGTTCTGGCTGCTTTGGTTTCTCTCCTTGTTCCTTTGAATGGCCAGTGAACTGAACTTGAACAACCTGGGGAGGAGGGGCTGAGGGACGAAAGCAAACCAGCCCAACGTGGGTCTGGAGGACAAATGGCAGGAAGGATCATACATGATCCGTGTGACAGGGATCTGGGAATTGCCTTTGCTGGAGTGAGGCAGAAAGAGAGCTGGGGTCTGGAGTGAAATACAAGCTAACGATGTGTTTACCACACATGTGCACGGGCAGAATGAATTAAGGGGAAGCCTTCTCTCTCAATCTCACGTGGAGATTTCAGAAAGACAGAAGAAAGCTACAGAAGTCAGGCCGGCCTTGAGGAAGCAGACGAGAAAGGAGGGGCACGACACGAGGTCAGGCCTGTCTCAGCGATTCTGTCAGAGGAGAGGGCTGCTCACTAGACGTGGGAATACTGGTGGTTCAGGGCAGGATCCTCGCCTTCCGTGAGGGAGACCCAGGTTTGGCCAAAGTACCTCAGGCACAGCCCCCCCCGTCTGTCAGGTAGGCCAGCACGGGGCTGGGATGAACAGCTTCAGCAGGGCTCCTAGACTGAGATGGACTAGGAAGAATGGCCTGGCAGTCTCCTTCCAAATCAGCCAATGAAAAGCCCATCCACTCCACAACCAAACACAGGGACGGCACAGGGCCAGGCAGTGCTTCATTCCACTGTAGGGAGCCGCGCGTCAGAGGCCAAACGGAGGATGTTAACAACAACGAAAGGGCGCAAAACAGAGACCACAGCGTGTAACGGCCATGACAGCGGGCCACAGCACGCAATGACCGAGAGAGTCAGCGTGCCACAGCGTGTTAACAGCCGAGTCAGCGGGCCACAGCATGCAATGGCCCTGAGTCAGCGTGCCACAGCATGTAACAATCCTGAGTCAGCGTGCCACAGTGTGTAACTGCCGAGTCAGCGTACCACAGCATATAATGACCAAGAGTGTCAGTGTGCCACAGCGTGAAACTGCCTTGAGAGAGTCAGCGTGCCACAGTGTGTAACGGCCCTGAGTCAGCGTGCCACAGTGTGTAATGGCCCTGAGTCAGCGTGCCACAGCATGTAACGACCCTGAAGAGAGTCAGCATGCCACAGCGTAACCACCCTGAGAGTCAGCGTGCCACAGCATAACAACCCTGAGAGTCAGCGTGCCACAGCGTGTAAGAATCTTGACAGTGTGCCAGTGTGTAACTGCCCTGAGAGAGTCAGCGTGCCACCGAGCGTAGCGCGTCCACAAAGGATGGGAGCAATGGGGAAATTCTGAAGAAGAGCTAGACTGCCATCTCTGCTGCATCCCTACCAGAATGGGCCCAACCAATGCCCTCTCCCCTCACTGCATACTCCACTGTGGCTCAGGGCTTCTGACCAAGAAGGACTTGTTCCCTTAGCTTCCATCATGCAGCCAGGAGCCAGCTCCCTTCGCGGACACTGTCACCCCCTGAGGGAGATCAGGGCTTCCCTCTGCCAGACCCCTGCCATGAAAGGGGAAGTGGAGTCCACTCAGTGCCTCTCAGCATAAGTCTCTTCTGATAACTTGGGTGGAGAAGAAAGAGTAGTAAAGATGGCAGGCCAGGCACTGGGTGCTGGGTCCACCCCAACAGCACCCTCTCCAGGCTAACCCCCCGATTCCACCTGGAGGGCCGCGGTCTCGAGCGTGCTCCTTTCTTCTGACCAAACACTTCCAGGCGGAGGAAAGGGTTGCCTGTCCTCCCGACACTTCCAGCCCAGGAGGAAACGGAGGATTCCGACACTTCACCTCCGTGATTTCCTTCCTCCCAGGGCAGAGTGGCTCCAGCTCACCGTCCAGCAGGAGAGGCCAATTCCCAAGGCCGTGCTGTGGTCCAGTGCCGCTGAGGTGACTCCGACTCCCACGACTCAGGCACAGCAGGACAGGACACTGGCCGGACCTATGCCGCGCTCACGTCGCGGTGCTTGAGCCCACTGCTGCACCCACTCTGCATTCTATGCCAAGTTTCTGAGTCTCTGCAAACATCCATTTTGATCTTTTCTGTCTGTCTTCTGAATGACCTTTCACTTTCTTCACGTGCGATGCCTTGATGTCATGTCCTAACTCGTCTGATCTACAGTCACTGGTGCTCAGTGCACCAGATCTATTCCTCAGATGGTCTCTGGTTCAGGTGGGATATAACGAAGGTCCTATTTTGGCTCTTGTGGACTGGGACTTAAACTGTCTTCAGCTTCAACTTAACCTGTGTATAAGCAACTGAAGGTCTGTTCCTCAAGGAGGTTCTGCATACAGTGTGAGCTTTCAGGAGTCTCAGCAGAAAGTCATGTAACTTGACTTTTCCCACCTGGTGCCGGAAGCATCCCTGCCAGGGAGGAAGGCGGGCTGCTAAGAAGCCCACGGGACAGAGGAGGACGGCGGTTCGGACCCCGCTCAGCCATGGAGCTGCCACGTGGAGATCCCCTCCCTGTCAGACTACAACCCTGAGACCAGAGGCTGGGGAATGTGGAACACGTGAACCCGTGTATGCTAACTGATCATCTTCGTTTAAAGTAAGCTTCTGGACTGTACGTCCCTGGGACAAGCAATCTTCATTAACTCATGATCTCCATTCAAACTTTGTCTGGAGGGAGGGCTGGCCAGCGGATGGGAGACCCTGAGGCCAGTTTTAGAGCCTAAACCCGAGGGCATGATGTGGACCCCAGCGGGGTTGGGTGTGGATGCCCGTGCCGGCTGAGGCTGCTCGGGCCCGGCCTGCTTCGTACAGCTCACCGCGTAAAAGAGTTAACAACCGGTGGGGAACAAAATCCCACTATTTAAGATACAGCCTTCAGGGGATTCCGTGTGGAATTCAGCTGTGTGCTTAGTGGAGAGGGACGTGTATCAGCAATGAGCAGGGATAGGGACCAGAGGTCAAGGCGATCTGACAGAGACAAACCTGGTCTGAGTCCAGGAGACAGTAGTTCACCCGCAGCTGAACGAGCTGCGCCAGCAGGCCCAGAACCTGCCTCTGCAGCTGCACAGACGTCGTCGTCGTGTACTGCTTCAGAGCTTTTATGACAAGCGGCTCGAACAAGCGGATGTGGCTGTGGATGGCGTTCTATGAAAACACAGAGGAAGAGCGTGCTGGTGAGCCTCCCACTAACAGCCTCAGCAACCAGCCCGGAGAGTGCCAGCTCCGCCTCAGCGCCCGGCATTCAAGCTGCTACGCGCTCCCACGCCTGCGCGAGCTAAAGCTCACGGTTACCTTGTCTGCGCGGTTCTTGGTGACGCCCGTGAGGTTGGTTTTCAACTGGGAAGACACTTTCTGGAGTACGTCAAACCATCTGCCAAAGGAGAGAGAGGAGCACCTTTCCCACCCGGTGCCAGAAGCTCCCCCGCCAGTGCCTTGCTCTACTCTAGTTCAGTGCGTTCCGTGCCCACAAACCCCCAAGACTGCAGAGTCAGAGAGAGCTTTAAAGGCCGCTCAGGGCAAAGACGGCACATTCCTTTTTAAAGAAGACGGCATGTTCCTTTTTTCCTGTCTAAATTCAGAGCCTGCACTGGACTGACAGCCGTCCGACACTGTCACCTGCAGCGGACCAGGCTGCTGTGCTTAGGGGAAAGACCTTAGAGGCTGAGAGAGACAGGAAGTCCTTAGGGGACCAGACGTCTCAGAGATTTGTAATCCAGAGGTCTCACTTGACTTCCTTGGAAAAAATAAACAACTTTATATACATCAACTACATCCTTTAAAGAAATAGGAAAAAAAAACGCATGGAATTAAAACAGCAACACCCACACACACCCCCACCTCCACCCCCACGCCCATGTGCTCACTTACAGCCACATCATGACACAGTCCCCAGGCCTCCCCTCCCCCATGCTGCAGACAGCAGGGGCATCAGTGGGTTAATGTAAAGTGAGTATTTTGCCTGGTTCCCAACGCCAGTGTTTTAATTGTTGCTGTCTGGTCACTACCTCTATCAGAGGGGAAAGGAGGGAATACACTATTATTCAGTACCAACTCAAATACCGTATTTTTATGACAATATTACAGGCATTATGCATTTTTTGGCTAACCACGCCCTCCCTGTGAAGTATTTTCATAACCACACTTGCTAACTCTTTCTTTTTATCAGCTACATATAAAATGAAGTTGGTCAGAAGGCATACAGTGTGCTCACTGCTCACGTAAAGGTACGGTGTCTGCTAATAATTATGGCATTTAAGACACATCTACTGTGTTAGGGCTTCATAATCCTTGATGTACATTTAAATGAAAGAGGCTTTTAGCCATGAAGTGCACAGAACACAAAGTTATGTCCCCAAGACACCTGTCTGCCTTCGGGTGCCCGCACCCAGCGTGGTGGCGCTCGTTCCACAGCGAACACGGCCACAGCACGTGTCAGGCTGTGTTTCACGAGCTTGAGGTGCATGAGGACACTCTGTGTCACAGCCCTGGGTGCTGATGCAAGGAGAGCTGGCACCTCACACACAGTCTGCCGGGCCTCATGTCCTCTCCCCAACGCCACCAAGAGGGGCTAAGCCCACAAGTACCCGCCCCGCGTGCTGGGCTGTGTAGCCACCTTGGCATCAGCGATACAAAGCCGACTGTCAGAGGCCGCAGGTTAGGGTCTGTGCCCATGACCCCTGCCCCCTCGCGTCCCTGTCACACTCAGAGCACACAGAGGGCTGTCCATTACCCCGAGGTGTCCTGCCACACACAGAGCACACACACAGAGGGCTGGCCGTTACCCCGAGGTGTCCTGCTCCTGCTCCGCCTGCACCATGTTCCTCAGACTGGCATCCGCCAGGGCCTGGGTGAAGTGGGTGTAGGGCGCCATGAAGCAGTAATGGTACAGGCCCGGCCGTAGGCTGGAGGAGCCGAGGCGCTGGGCACGGCCTTGACACTTGCTGGGGTTGGAGGACAAGCCGTCGAACTGTGATGCCAAGTTTGTCCCAAAGAGCGTCTTCAGCAGCTAGAGTGAGAGGCCAAGTCATGAGTACGGGACCTCCCGCAGCTGGAGTGGCCCTTAGGGCCCCCCCCCCAACAAGCTATCGCAGCCGCCTGCAGCAACCAGGAATGTGAGCAGAGTGCACACTGTGACGCGCTTGCCGCCAGTCACCCAGGTACCTGCTGGCATTGCAGCTGTGAAGTGTTACTCACTCCCGCATCTCAACAAGGCCTGACCGCTGGGGCCTGGAGATGCCCCGTGGTTCTAAGTGAGGCTGGGCCTCCCAACCCCAAAGCAAGAGAAACGTGAGGATGACGGTTAGGTGGGGAGGGCTGAGCGGAGCTACTGACACACCCACCCTCTGGAGGGGCCCTTCCTAAAGAGGCATGAGGCATGGCACCATGACAGGGAACCACCCTATCCTGAAATGCCAGCTGGGCCCTACAAGGGCAATGAGTGCAGGAGTGACAGATGGCGTGACCAGGCTGTAACCACAGCTCCCACAGCCTTTAAGCCATGGCAGGCACAATGACGGGGAACCACACACCCTGAACTGCCAGCTGGGCCCTACAAGGGCAATGAGTGCAGGAGTGACAGATGGCATGACCAGGCTGTGACCACAGCTCCCACCACCTTTAAGGCATGGCAGGCACAATAATGGGGAACCACCCCATCCTGAACTGCCAGCTGGGCCCAACAAGTGCAATGACTGCAGGAGTAACGGATGGCACAACCAGGCTGTGATCAAAGCTCCCACCACCTTCAGAGGTGAGCCCAGCATCATGTCATCCCCACTGCAGCAAGGGCTCAGCGGGTCAGGACAAGGCTTTCTCACCTGCTGCACACAGACTGTGGCCATTGTTGGCTCACGGCTGAAGCAGGACTTCAGGTATCCGAGGATCTCTTCCACACACTGCGGAGAAGATAAGGAGGAAGCTGTGAACCGAGGCAGAAATCACAGACAGACAGTCTGGTGGTGTACACACCAGTCAAAGTCGGAAGGAAGTTGTGATTTTCCACGTAGCATCTCAAACAGACGAAGACAGTAAGAAGTACTAAAATCAAAGTGCATCTATTTCAACTATTTATCTAGTCTTCATGTATTCACCACTCCCTTCATTCATGCAGCACACATTTCCTGTGTCTACTGAGGGTCCAGCCCTGTTTCTGGGAAATGCTTAAGTCCAAGAGTCAGAAACCTTGCCTCTAAGAAGCACATATGGCAGTAGACACCACACAGTTACTGTACACTGACGTGTCCTCGGTGTGTGACTGATCACACACTGGCCTGGAAGGTCTCGCACAGCCTGCAGAGATGACCGACATCATTGCCCTCAGCTTCCCACTAGCCCAAACTATCTGCCGTCATCAGAAACTGCGTCTGAGGTATGTGATTCCTTTGAAAAGATCCAGAGGAAGTGAGACCCTCAATCTAAGAGCATCACTAGCCAAGGTGCTGGCATCAGCAGTGCACTTCCCTGTTCCTAATTAGCTGTGATCCAATTTCTATCACCTCTGCTGGAAATCAACACCAATGGATGCAAAGTGCCTCTCACTCAACTCGCTTGATGTACTTCCTGTACAAAAACACAGCTGGCTTCAAACACTCAGAGACCATACATGTTTCCTCAAAACAGGCTACTTCCCAGGGCTGAACGTGTTAGGTGCCACCTGTTGCTCTCACCAGCACACAGCAGGTCTTTACTAAACGCTAGTGAGGACCACGACCAGTCTCTCCAATCCCCATCTGTCCAACAATGGACGTATCTCTCGACAAACATATGGGGCGCACGGGACACGTGACGGAGCAGACACCGAGCAGGCGCTGGGAACGGGGAGGACAGGACGCTTGCTGGGCCGAGACCTCAAAGGCCAGGGTAA